GCATCTTTTCATGTGCTAGTTGCCTACTTGTACTTCTGCTTTGGTGAAACATCTATTCAAATCCTTTGGCTGTTTTTATTTTTATTTTTAATTTATTTATTCATGATAGTCACACAGAGAGAGAGAGAGAGAGAGAGGCAAAGACACAGGCAGAGGGAGAAGCAGGCTCCATGCAGGGAGCCCGACATGGGATTCGATCCCGGGTCTCCAGGATCACGCCCTGGGCCAAAGGCAGGTGCCAAACCGCTGCGCCACCCAGGGATCCCTAACAGCTGATTTCTCATCAGTAGCCATGGAAGCCAGAAAGCAAAGGGAAGACATATTTACAGACCTGAAAGAAAAAGAAACCCTCAACCAAGATTTCTATATCTGGCAGAAATATCCTTTGAGAACAAAGGAAAAATTAAGACATTTCCAAATAAAAACTGAGGAAGTTCATAGACCTGCCCTACAGAAATACCAAAGGGAATCTTTCAGGCAAAATTGAAAGGACACTAGACAGCAACTCAAAGTTAGTTATAGGATGAAATAACGACAATAGTAATGGTAAGTATATAAGAAAAATACAATTGTATTTTGGGTTTATAACCCTTCTTTTTTTCTATATGAATTAAAAGACAAATGCATGATGCAATAATTACAAATTTGTGTTAATGGCAACCCAAGGTATAATGATGTGGTGAGTGACAATAACAGTATAAAGGGAGAAGAAAACATAGGAGCAGAGTCTTTATGTACAATTGTAACTACGTTGCTATTATTCATACTAGGTTGTTATAAGTGTGAAGTTTTCATCATAACTCCCAAAGTAACCACCAAGATAATAGCTGAAAAGTATACAGAAAAGGACAGAAAGGAACCAAAATCATACATTACCAAAAAGTCATTCAAATACAAAACAAGTTGGTACGCCTGGGTGGCTCAGTGGTTTGGTGCCTGCCTTCGGCCCAGGGCGTGATCCTGGAGTACCGGGATCGAGTCCCACATCGGGCTCCCGGTGCATGGAGCCTGCTTCTCCCTCTGCCTGTGTCTCTGCCCCTCTCTCCTTCTGTGTGTCTCTCATGAATAAATAAGTAAAATCTTAAAAATAAATAAATACAAAACAAGAGAGTAATAGAGGAATTGAGGAAAAAGAACATATAAGACATAAAAAAAGCAAAGACTAAATGGCAGGAGAAATTCCTTCCTTACAGTAATTATATTAAATGTAAACAGATTAAACTCTCCAATAAGTAAGCAAAGATCATTTTGAAATGTATAAAAATAATCCATCTATCTGTTGTCTATAAGAAACTCATTTGGATATAAAACACAGAGTGGTTGAAAGCAAAGGGATAAAAGACCATATTCCATGAAAATAGTAGCCCCAAGAGGGCTGAGTAGCTATGTTATTATTAGACAAAAGAGACTCTATGTCAAAAAATTAAAAGAGGCAAAGAACATTAAATATTGATAAAAGGGTCAACCCATCAAGAAGACAAAAATAAAAAAGAAGATAAAAATATTATAAACATATAGACACCTAACAACAGAGCCCCAAAATATGTCAAAATTTAACAAAATTGGAGAGAGAAATAGACATGTCTACAATAATTCAATATTGAGAATTCAATATCCTATCTTCAATAATAGATAAAACCAGACAGAAGATCAATAAAGATATGAGCACTTGAACAACACTATAAACTGAAATTAAGTCTAACAGGCATTCAGGAAACTCTACTGAACAATAGTAGAATATACATTTTTCTCAAGTGCATATGGAATGTTCTCCAAGATGTGTTAGGCCATGATCAAGTCTTAACTAAATGTAATAGTTTTTTAAAATTCAAGTTATACAAAATGTATTTTTTGATCACAGTGAAATGAAATTAGAAATCAATGACAGAAAACTGGAAAATTCACAAATATGTGGCCATTTAACAACATCTCTTAAATAATCATTTAATCAAAGAAGAAATCACAAGAGAATTTAAGAAATATCTTCAGATGAATGAAAACAAAATGAAAATGTACCAAACTGATAGGCTGCAGTGAAAACAGTGGGAAGGGGGAAATTTATAGGAGTAAATGTCTATCTCCAAAAAGAAGAAAGATCCCAAGTGACAATCTAATTATGTAACTTACGGAACGAGAAGATCCAGAATAAACTAAAGTCAGAAAAAGGCTACAGGATAAGAAAACTTCAGGTCAATACCCCTTATGAATATAGATTCCAAAATCCTCAACAAAATACTATCAAAGTAAAGTCAGCAGCTTACTGAAAGGATTATGTGCCGTGGCCAAGTGAGATTTGTCCCCACAATGCAGAGGTGCTTCATAATAAGAAACTCCACGTAATACATCACAGTAGCAGAATGAGGGCAGAGCAGAGAGTGGCTCAGAGTCATGCGGCACAGGTGAGAAGGCCATACCACCCCCGGTTCAACGCCTTCCTCTTCTCATTCGTCAACCACTTGTCATTTGGCATGAGTTCCTCCACAGAAAGAGCTCTGCATTAAAACAAAAAAACAAAAAACAAAAAACAAAACCCAGCTCTAAAACCCAAAGTTACTTCTTCCCTTTCATCTGTGGTACTAGCCCCACTGACCATGCTATACCTCTTGGGTTGGGATCATCCCCCAGCTTCCTTGACACCACTGACTGTCCTCTCTGTGCTGCTGTCTGGGTTGCAGGCACTAAATATTTACTTCATCATTAAATGTCGGGTATCTTAACAGCTCGATGCCCTCTTCACTTCTTGCACACTGCCTTCCATTAGGATGATTATCTTCATTTACCATTGATACATCAGTGACACCCAAATTTACTTTATACCCAGACCTCACCCCTCTGGATCTCAGACCCAGATGCACAACTGCCTAAGTGGAGGGATGCCTCCAAGGCATCTCAAACTCAACCTGACCAAGTCCAAGCCCACAATCTCCCTCCAAGGCCTAGTCCAGTCCCATCTAGGGCAGTAAGAGTCATCATTGGCCCTCCCACAGCCTCTGTCACCCCTTTGTGTTAACTTGCTCTCTTGAAATCTCTCAAATCCACCCTGCTCCCTCCATCTCCATCACCACCTCATTCCAGGCACCACCCCCCACCCCTCATCCATGTTACTGCCTCTGCTGCTCCACTGGCCCAACCACACCTACTCCTGGTGCCGTTCACTTCGTTCTCCACATTGCCACCAGAGCAATTTTTTCTTAACACATATGTAGTCTGGGACAGTGTGGTATGCAACCAAAGTTAGGTTTTAGCTATTTCTGGGATATCTCTTTTGTTGCAAGAATCTGCATGGGAGAGACCCCTGCTGTAGCATATGTTCAGGTGGATGTTCCACCCAAGGTGCGGGCACTGGAATGCCAGCAAACCCTGGCCCACTCACCATATCTCTACAGCCACTCTCTGGGCCAGAGGGGCTCCAGGCTGGATTCTGAGCCACATTGCTCAGCGACTGCAGCATTAATAATTGTGACTTCAGGAGCTTCTGATGTCACAATGACCCTGTGGGCCTGGCCTGCTGAGGCTGTAGGGCCAATTTTCCTGTGGTAGCATGGCAGCCAGGACCATGACCAGCTTCCACCCTTCTGGCATCACATAAGCCAGCCCGTGAGTATCCTGCAGTTTGGATGGTCCACTCACCCACTCCTTTCTGGCTGGAGACTCTGTGTACTCAGGCCTGTGCCTTTCTATGTTGTTGAATCAAGAGAGTGTTGTCACCAGGGTGGGGTAGTCTTTTTTTTTTTTTAAAGATTTATTTATTTATTTATACGTGATAGACATAGAGAGAGAGAGGCAGAGACACAGGAGGAGGGAGAGCAGGCTCCATGCCGGGAACCCGACGTGGGACTCGATCCCGGGACTCCAGGATCGCGCCCTGGGCCAAAGGCAGGCGCCAAACCGCTGAGCCACCCAGGGATCCCAGGGTGGGGTAGTCTTACGGGTCAAGGGGCATAGCAGCTCTCATACCTGGTGTCTTCCTGACACTGCCAGGGTGCCCTGAGCCAAGCCCTGATTATCGTCACTGCCAGGATTTGGGGAGGCAGCCTGGGCATCTGGGAAGGACAGTCCTGGATCAGTTTGGGAAGCAGGAGCAAGATGGCGCCTGGGACCAATGGCCATGGTGTCAAAGTCTTGCCCTGGCCTCTGCAGTTGGCCCTCTGCCCCAGAGGAGGCAGATTCAGTCATGTCAGTTTGCAGGGTCACATCCATGGCTTAGGGGGTCTGCCAGTAGGTATGGAGTGGATGTGAGGGGTGAGGGGTGCCGCTTCCTCTGCCTTCTCTAGACCACTGGGTTCCTGTAGTGGTGCCACTTCTTCAGGTCAATTGCTGGCAAGGTCACCTCTCCCAGCCCCATTCAGGACTGTTTGGGCTGCGAAGCCCAGATGGCCACTCTGGACTCCACCTTGTCCCCTACTTACCAGGTGGCTTGGGATGTAGGCAAAGCACCTAACCTCTCAGAGCCTCAGTTTCTTTACCTGGAAAATGAGGATGATGCAGTCTGCTCTCTGTCAGGTGGAGAACAGGTTAAATGAACTTGGCAGACACTTTGCTGAACCCAGATCCTTTGTGTCCCACTGTGACACGGGCACCCATCCTAGACCAGGGCCCTCACCTGGCTTCTCAGGAGAGGAGGACCAAAAGCCAGATCCAGGGGTGAGTGACCTGCTCAGGTTTACCTGATAGTGAAGGCCTGTGGGGCCAGACCCACAAAAGGGACCCCTGTGTCCTTAAAACAGCCACGGTCCAAGGTCAGAGGCCACGGAAGCCCCCACTAGCCGCCACTGGTGTGGAGAGCTGCACTCCAACCAAAGCCCTTGGCTAGGTAGGTGAGTGAGTAGAGGGTCAGGAAGACCTCTTAGTGGCTTGGAGGGGACAGGCCACAGGAGGGGCTGCTGGCATTTCTGGGCCAGGGCAAAGGCCGACCAGGACAGCCAATCACCCAGAGTCAGAGACCAAGCTGGCCGGGGTGTGCTTGGCTCACGGACAGGTGGGCTTGGCCTTGGACTAGGATGGCCTGTGCCCGGGAGACCATTGAGCTTCCCGTGGGGGACCCAGGGGTCCACACACCGTAACATTGCAACAGGCAGCACCATGGCTGACCCCCTCCCTCCACTCACCACGAGCATTTCCAGCAGCCCTTGCAGCCCCAGTGGGGAGGGGAGCTTAGCCAGCCATTGACGGGCAAGGGTCACACAATTTGATGGCAAAGGAAGCACCAGTGGTCAGGCCTTAAGTCCTGCTGTTAGAAGGACTTAAGAACCTACTGGCATCTGTAGTCACTTGTATACTGCTGGGGGGCATGGAAAATAGTGCAGCTGTTCTGGAAGGTCGTTTGGCAGATGCTTTTAAAACTAAAAATGGACTTCCCATAAGCCACAGCAATTGCACCCTTATATAAATCCCAGAGTGACAGAGACTTATTTTCAAGCACAAACTTGTACATGAATATTCATAGCAGCTTTATTTGTGAGAGCCCCAAACCAGAAATGACCCAAATGTCTTCCACAGTTGAAGATCAAACCAAGCCCGGCACATCTGTACCGTGGAATACTACTCAGCACTGGAAAAGAACCACCTGCTGACATTCACAACTGGGCTGGTTTGCTGAGGGAATTATGCTGAGAGAAAGAAGCCAGGCTCTAAAAGACACCTACTGGGTGGTTTATTGGCATAACACTTGTAAAATCACATCAGTATAGAGATGAGAACAGATCTGTGCTTGCCAGAGTTTGGGATGGGCTGTTCAGTTGAGAACCATCCCAAGTGCTGGTTACATGAAGCACATATAAAATTGCACAGAACTACACACACACACACACACACACACACACACACTCATACAAGAGAGCATGGATAACTGCTACAGTGTGGTGGGGCCAGGCATCAGCGACAGGCCAGCACCACCCAGCCCTCACTCAGCTCCGGGAGGGCAGCAGGGCCTGGTCCTCTGTCGCCTTCCCAGTCCTGAGGGGAAGCTTCCTCCCATCACCTTCCCTGTTCTGACCGGCCTCCTCTTGTGTTCCAGCCATGGCTGCAAAGTGTGCCACAGCTTAACCCCCTTTGTGATGAGCTCAAAGGACTCCAAGAAGTGCTCCCAGTGTAAGAAGAGTAGAACCAAGGTCCAGGAAAAATTTGCCAGGAAGTTTCCGTACAGGTAGTAGAGCCCCAGACCGCTAGGCCAAGACCTGCCTCTCTCAGGCCATGCCAAAGCACAATCCAGCGGAGTATCGACTGGACCTGTGACCGTCTGGGGTTCACTTTCTTCACCCCCATCCCAATCTGAGATGAGGGGCTCTACATAGGTGCCTGGGACCCCTGGGGCCAGCCCAGAGCCTTAGCCAGCTCCTTCCCTCTGGGCGGGGGCCTCACGGGAACCACCTGAGGTGCTCATTCATGAACACCTGCCCCTGCCAAGGGGCAGATGGGATCAGACTGAGGTGCAGGGTAGTTTGTAAAGCCCCAGGGAATTCGGAAACCAGTAGAGACCCCCAGACTGGGCAGCTCTGGGGCCTCAGCCAGCAGCAGTTACTAAATGTTTTGTGTGGGCAGGCTGTGTCCTGGAGCCCACCATCAATACACTGATGGGTCCTAGGGAAAATGCAGTGACTTTGGGGGGGCCTCCTAGCTATATGACCTTGAGCAAGTCACTTGACCTCTCTGTGCCTTAATTTCCTCATCTATGAAGTGTGGGTAACTATACCAACCTCACAGCATGGTTGTGAGTGACATACGGGCTAATGTTGATAAAGCACTTAGAATGATGCCTGGCAAGTAGAAAGTTTGGGATGAGAGAGAGCTATACATATGGCTGGTGGCTGCAGGCTCCCTAAAGATGCCAAGTGCCCACTGCAGGTTCTCTTGGCTGACGGAGCCCAATGTGGAGTTCCTGAAGCCCTGGGAGGTCACGAAGATGACCACCTCACTGCGGGATCAACTGCCCCTGCAGAAGATGTTGGTGGCAACGAGATCCATTCCAGTCAGAGGGTGAGTCACAGGCCCAGGGTGCTGCCACAGGACAGACGCTGCCACCTACCGACCACACTCAAGCTGCTGGCCTTTCACCCCAGGTCTGCACACAGACACCCACGTGTCTCTCCCAGTAGGCTCCACTTCCAAGCTGAGGAAACCGCGGCCCAGAAGTCCAGTGCTCCTTCCCGGAGCAAGGCAGTTTGTGGGAGAGGCTGCACAGGAGCCTCGGGCAGGCAGGCCCTGGCCTCACCTGGAGAGGGCCTTGTCCACACCCAGGGAGACAGGCCTGAGGGGAAGCTTGGCCTCCATCCTTCCACATGGCAGAGGCAAAGCAGAAGAGCCAGCGAGTTTCTGGTCTCCATGCAGCCTGCTGCGAGGGTGGAGGCACTGGCAGGGACTGTGGCACTGGGCACCTCTAGACTGACCATATGCACACAAGCGCCCCCCCAACCCTGACATACACAGTGAAATACCTGGACACCCTTGAAAGACCCCCCCAAACATTTCATGTACTTGCCCTAAACTGGGACTCAGACCCAGGTGGTCCCTGGGCTGGATGGGGCACACCAGCTGTGACATAATGAAGGGCTTCCATGACCCGTTGGTGGGGGCATCCACCTTCCAACTCCAAGGTCGGTTCTGTGCTGACTGGCCATGCCTTTGACTCCACACCGTGCATGCATCTCCTCTGCTAGCTCAGAGACTCCCACACATTCCCTGACCCGACACCCAGATAGGTGACATGAACACTCACACTAGTACACACGCACACACACACACACACACACACACACACACACACACAGCTGCATGCCTATTCTCTGACACGCTTGCCCTGACTTTTGTCCCAGGTCTCACACTCCCTACCTCATTTGGCTATGGGTTTTGCTCCAAATGTCTGAACTGGACCCGTGGGGGCTGAGCGGCAGAGGCTGGAGTCTGAGAGAACAGATGTTCCTGGGTTTCAGCTTCTACTTCTGCAGAAAGGGATCAGCTTCAAGCTGAGGGTCTTGTGGGCACCAGTCAGACAGTGCACAGGGGCCCAGACTCTTAGTGCTGGGGCCTGCCCCAGGGGGACTGCAGCTCCCCTGGAGGGCGACATGGAGCAGAGACCTGGAGGACACACCAAAGCTGTCAGTGGACGTGTCAGGGAGTTTGGAACACAGTGGGCTTCTCAACCCCCCAGGGCCCAGCACCAGTGGGGAGCTGATCCATCACTTGGGTGGGAGGGGTGGGCAGGGGCCAAGAGCCCCAGGGCGGGGAGGGGGCTGTGGCTGTGGGACCTTTGCCAAAGGCATCAAAGTAGTGGGGAACAGGTGGGGGAGATCCCTCACCTCATCGTCCACCCTCTGAACCCCCACCAGCCCTCTGCTGGGGAACTGCCCAGAGTGGGAGGGTTGGGGGCCAGAGGACCATGGTCAGCAGATGCCAGAGTAGGGCGGAGAGTGGATGAAGAGAGAGGATGGGAGAGGGTGTGGGGTTCCAGGTGAGAAGCAGGGACCTAGTAGGAGCAGATGCTCCCGGCAGCAGGAGGCAAGTGCAAATATGCTGAGGTGGGATAGAATAACGTCCCACCTAGGGAATTTGATGTGCTGTTTTTCAGGATGGCTAGGAGACAGGCAGGGAAGAATGCGAAATGCCAACATTTGTCTGAGGGGGAATGGGGAGCCACTGAAGTCTGGGGAGCAGAAAGGTGGCATGCACAGACCTGATGTAGCCTTAGAGAAGACTGATTAGGGGACGAGTGGTGGCTTCGCGTGGGGGGCGGCCATGCAGTGCTGGCACAGCTGCTTGGTGGCAGTTCGTTGGCGGGCACGGTGGACTAAGCCCTGGCCTCGCATGAGGCACAGCACGGGAACCCTGCTGGGTTCTGGCTTGGACATTTGTGGGGTGGCGGCTCGTGGGGGACCCTGGGGAGGTCTGGCTGGGAGTAGTGTCATTGCGGCCCTAGCCAGCATCTCTGGACTAGTGGGGTTCTTTGGGGGCTTTTCTAGGCTTGGGGCCCCAGATTGTATATCACCGTCTAGCTTCAGCCCCCTGCCGCCGCCGTCTCCACTGAGCAAACTTTGGGAACTCAAGATACTGAGCCTCCGCTTCCCCCGGCTGGGTGCCCCCGCTCCCCCCACCGGCGCCCGGGCTGCCCGGCCCTCTGCAGGCGCCTCCTAGAGCCCAGCTCCATGCGGCCTCCCCCTCGGCCACCTGCCCCTGGCGCTCCGGGCAGTGGCCACAGAGCACGGCCTTCTGGACGGACGTGAACTCTATTGAGGGGAACAGCCTTGAAGGGGGCCACTCATCTCCTCGGAACCCACACCATGTGAATAAACTTCGCAGGTTCAAATCCTATTTCCACTTGGACTGAGTGCTTTGCTTTCCGAGCATCTGTCTTCTCATTGGTAAAATGAGGTAACGTTTCACGTTGAGGGGTTGGTGTGAGGGTTAGAGAGTATGAATGTCGTGTCCCAGAATTCATCCCAAAGATGTACTCATACGTGTAAGGTAAAGATACTTGGACAGCAGTATCCATTACAGGCCGTAGGAAATGGCCCAGGATCGGAGAACCCTGCATACCCCCGCTGGGGGCTGTTCAGCGGTACCACACCAGCCCCTGAACAACCAGGCGGCCGTGGAATGAAGGCACAGCTCTTTATTTCCTGGTCTGCAGCAATCTACAAAGCATATTCAGAGTTTTTCTGAAGTACAGCAGAAGTGTGATGTGCTCCCATCTTGTGCGCATCAGGAAACTGTGTGTGTGCATGCGTGTGTAGTATGTATGTGTGTGTGCGTGTGCGTAGTAGGTAACAATCGGTACCTCTGTGTAGAACTGGGGAACCTGGGGACAGCCCTACTATTTTCTGAGATTTTAATACATGAACTAATACCATGTTGTTGGCGTATTACGAATTCTTCAAAGAGAAGCGTGGGATAAAAATCAGAGGCTGGTGTTAACTGCTTTGGAATTTGTGATAGCTGCACCATGGAGCAGGGCGCCTGCTGAAGATGCAAGTGCTCAGCCTGTGCTCTCCTACAAGGAGAGGGACCACCTGGAGTCCTTGGGATGGTAAATAAAACTGGGGAGACTGGCTATAGAGCCCTCCCCCTAGGAGACAAGGGGGTGGGGGCCCTGAAGATGACCAAGGTGGCTGCACTGAGCAAGGAGGGCAGGTGGCCCTATTGTTCTGGAAAGAAGGTGGAATGAGGTCCCCTGTGGAGTAAGAATGGAAGAGGGGCCTTCCCCATGCCCTGGGGACAGACGGGAGGGTGATTCCCAGCCTGCAGGAGGCAGAAGTCAGTTCTGCTGTGTGCTCCTGGGGTGCTGGGGCCTGGGGAGAGGGCACAGAGGACTGCAGGGGGGCACCCCAGCAAAGGGCATTGGGGCTTCTGGGTGGGAAGCAGGCCTGGTGTCCTGTGCACCATACAGCATTGCCCTGCTGGTGGAAGGGAGTCGAGACCCCAGGGTCCCTGCCCGTTAGGCTTGGAGGCAGGCTGATTTCCGTTTGGACTGTGTAGGTCTCAAGACTGTTCCTCCAATGCTCACAGCTATGTTCTAACTTGTTATATGCAAAATACAGCATTGTGTGCCTATGATACAGCGTAATGGTGAAGTGACCCACGTGACCGCTGGGTCCATCTGCCTGGGAGCCGCTTCTCCAGCTGCCTCCCCGCCCCCAACCTCAGCTCTCTCCTATCCTTCTAAAACTAGTATCTCAAAACAAGACATCGTTTGCTTTTTTTTTTTTTTTTTTTTAAGCGATACAGGATTGTATTATGTTCCATGCAGCTTTTTTCCTCTACGGCAAGTTGCTAATAAGAGTCACGTGATGGTGCATACAGGTCACTTGATCATTTAGTTATCATGTATAATCGTGCATGGCTTATGCATCGTCTTTCCACCAAATGTTTGGTTTCCAGTTTTTCCTGCTGTGGACTCAGCTGCTCTGAGCACTGGGGCCCTGTCCCAGGCGCACATTGTTCCCTGAAGACTTGTCACTGGCTAGAAGGCTCCTGAGTGCCAGCCAGCACCACCCCGTTTTCCTGAGTCCCATTCCCACTGCACGCGGCCATGAGCAGCTTAGAGAAAGAAGCTCCTCTGGATCCGCCTGGGTGCTACTCTCGCTGGGGCCGCAGAGGGTTTAGGAAGTAAGCCAGGGAGGGCAGGCAGGGCTCTTGCAGCACGGGGGTCAAAGCCAGCCCTGCAGGTAGAAAAACCTCATACCAGCCACCCAAATTCAGAGTCATAAACTATACATGGTCTTCAGTGTGAGGTGACTCTAAAGAATATTTAGGGAGTAAAAAGCTATGTGTTGATTCCGCGGTATCCTGAGTAAAGTTGCCATGCACACAGTGTCCTCACAGAAGAAAACCACTCCATCAGGAAGCATGCACTACAAAAGTCCTCACAGGCAAATGAGCAACATCTGAAGGTGTGATGCCAGAGGGACGAGTTAGCATATCTCGGCGGCGCACACGGCACCTCAGCGTGCTGCCAGCATCCACGTGCAGCCAGCCTGACCCCCCATCGTCCTCGTGCCCCAGTACAGTCACAGTAAAACTTACATCAGCAGCTGCCTGAAGCCTCCCAAGGACCAGGCACAGTGAGCAGTGGGGTCAGAGGTGTGGATCTGTCTTCTAGGAATTTATCCTGGGATCACACCCGACACACGCAGGACGGGATGTGTGTATGGATATTCCTGGCCGCGCCGGAACGCTAAAGGAACAGATTAACGTAACTATCGTTTAGGTACCAATGAAATAAAAGCAGCAAGTCTGCAATGGAATCATGGTTGATTCCCTGGCCTAGGCTTAGAGTTCCCCTGGAGATAAAAACATGGATGTAAGGAGTTTCACTGGAGGGAGATTCCGGAGAGCCCCCCAGAGACGTGGGGAAGGGAGAGGAGGCAAAGGGTTTGAGCTGGCTGCCACTTGGGGCTGAATCCCAGGGGAGAGCTCTCTAGGTCACACCTCAGTGATCACCCTGAGAGGCAAAAAGCTGTAGGATTTACCCCCCAACTTCCAGCAGACATGGGCTGAGGGCTTCTCGGGACCCTGACTCCCTGTATACCTAATCCCTCTACCTGGACCTTCAAGCAGATCTGGTGGCCAGGAGAAACCTAGAGGAGGGCTGCCAACGGGGCATCTGGAAGCCATTAGGAATGCTACCTGGAAGGGGCTCCTGCCACAGGGCTGCAGGCTATGGGGTGGGTTCGTGCCCAGTCTCCCCTGTGGCAGGGGCACAGCAGGAATGGTAGGCTCTGGCTGATGGGACCAGACTGCAAATGCAACGTACAATCCATGCATGGTCTGTGTCTTCAACTTTCCGATGCTTGGGGAGTGACCGACTGGCTCTCGTGGGCCACATAGAGAAGGGCTACAGACAGTCTAAGGATGGGGGAGCCACAGGAGAGAAGGGTCCTGGACCCCCGATGCCTCAGGCAGCGCTGTTCTGACCACCTCCCGCTGTACAAGAGAGACCACCTGATTTCAGCTGAGCCCTTGCCACAGGCAGCGGTGCCATCACTCCGGGAAGAGAGCTGCAGGGGAAGGGCAGTACCCTGACACCTGGCCCACTGATCTCATGGGGTGCTGTAGTGAGCCGGCAAGCTGAGCCACTCCGGGCCTGGCCTTCACCCCTAGAGCCCGCAGCCAATTGCTGAGGCCAGCAGATGCAGCCGGCTGCAATTCCCAAACTGAATAATGCATGAAGTAGTGTTGTTACAAAGAACCAGGGGTTTATTTTAGCAGAATTTTCAGTTATGGAAATATGCCTCCCAGGAAGCTGCCTGGATGACAAAGCCACAACATAAAACTGAAAAACAAAGCAAAACAAACAAAAACAAACCAAGGCTGTAACTACCAAAATCCGGGAATCATTTTCCTGACAAAGCCAAAAACATCAGAAGAACACGAAAACATCTTAAACAAGTCTTTGTAACCCAATCCACCAGTGTTGCTTCCTTGCCGGGGAGGCCACTGACCAGTACCACTCAGTTCTGAGATGGAAATAGAAGATAGTTGCCAGTGAGCTAAAATGCCAAGTGAATGTCATTTTGTGGGTTTGATCCCTTTAGGTACGTACGGGTGTAGTATTTTAACAGAAAAGTCACTGAAGGGTGCCAGGTTGAGCCCACCAGGGCACCCTCCATCTCGTCCAGCTATTCACGGGAGACCCTGTCCTCCTCAGGCCATCCAATGACCCAGGTGGGACCTGCAGGGGGCCAGGCAGTCAGCCTGTGATCTGTGAGGGCAGACATGCTCTGGTGCCAGCCAGAGAGGAAGCAGGTCAGGGGACACCAGAGCAGGAGGGACCCCCCTCCAGGGCCTGAATGAGAAGGGGAAGAGGCGCCTCCAGCACTCGCAGGGCTGGAGTATAGGCCTTGTACACAAGGCCTCTGGGAGTGTCCCAGGCCCAGCCACCCCCTCCTCCCGGTAATGGTCCAGCGTCCTGGGATTTCCATGGTTCTCTGGTGGGGCAAGGCCTCACGGGGAGCCCAGTGGCATCCCCCTTCCAGGTCCACAGGGCTGGGCTGTCACTAGCCCCTGCTGGCAGGGCCTGTGGACACAGAGTCCACGAAGGCCTCAAGGCTCCTGGGAAGGAGGAACTCTAAGGCTAGACTGGAAAGGGAAAGCATCCATTGCAGGCAGGAGGAACAACACTGGCAAAGGCCAAGGCATCAATGTGACTGAGCTGCCCGACGCCGGCCGGCCTGGCCCCCACAGGCCAGCAGGGCCCCATAACCAGGGTCACAGGCTGTCACCATGTTGTGGGGGTGCCACAACAGACGCTTGGCCTCCGCCCTGCCAAGCTGCCCTTCTTTGGCTGTGCTCTGATCTCTGTTGCTCAAAATCTCATGCACACTGTGCCCTGGTCTTCCCAAAGTTCCGGCATTTTAATTTATCCTTCAACAAAACTGAGAAAGGACACCATACATTCAACCAGCTGCTAAGGGGACATTCAGTCCTTCCAAAGGGACTCTCACAGCTGGCTGTCCTCCCAAAGCCAGAAAGGTGGGTCCTCATTGCCAAGTGGGCTGACACACACTGCAAATACACACCCACACACCCACAGAAGTGTGGGAGGCAGCCCAAGGCACAGGGTTTTTGTTTTAATCTTTAACGTTGGCAATAAGAAGGATCAGATTTCCCCCTGCCCCCTTCCCGAGCTTTCACTGTTGCCCGCCCAGCCAGAATTTAGCAGCTGCAGCCAGTGGTGCCCCCACTCCTTAACCCCACTCCCCATACAGCCCCACACACCTGTGGGCTGCTGTGAAGGAGACCCAGGCTCTCCGTCTCCCCCGTCGGATCTTCATGACCACCGGGCACTCTTGTGCCACTTGGCAGCAAAGGGAAGCTGAGGCTCAGAGATTTAAGATGCCCGAGATCCCACAGCCCTAAGCAGCAGAGCAAATGGCAAAATGAAGCGGAGAAACTCCAACATGTCAGAAGTAGCAAAACATTTATTTCAAAAACCTGAGCTCCCCAGCTCACTGAGGTCCTCCGAAACCTGCCACCTTATTGCACCCTGGGCTCTGTGGGCGCACACGGAAGACTTAGGGGTATGGCAGGTTGAGCTCAAAGGTGGGGCCAGCTCCTCGGAGAGGCAGGTGCTCTATGACAGGCAGAGAGGAAGGCAGCTCCGGGGGAGGCCGGCCCCGGCCTGCGCCCCTAACGCAGGGCTTTCCTCCTGAGCCAGGGCTGTCAACACCAGGGCAGGCGAGGTGAGGGGGGTCCTGGGCTGGGTGGCAGGCTGCATCGGACACCGACAGGCTTGGGGGCAAAGTGACCCCCCAAAGTGGCCTCCCACAAACTACAAAATTCTAGTGCTCGACGCTCCCTCGTCCCGGGGTCTGTCAAGTGCCTGCCCACTGGAGCAGCTGGAGGCAGCGACCTCAGGTGTCAGGAGGCGCACAGGGGCACAGCCGCCTGGGGGGCTGCACCGAAGCCCGGCCAGGGGACAGGGGCCGGGGGTCGGGGTGGGGGTGGGCTCAGGGTGGAATCCCGCGCAGGCAGGCGGCCCCGGTGTGGGGTGCGGGGTGCGGGGTGCGTTCAGGGTGGAATCCCGCGCAGGCAGGCGGCCCCGGTGCGGGGTGCGGGGGCGCTCAGGGTGGAATCCCGCGCAGGCAGGCGGCCCCGGTGCGGGGTGCGGGGGCGCTCAGGGTGGAATCCCGCGCAGGCAGGCGGCCCCGGTGCGGGGTGCGGGGTGCGGGGGCGCTCAGGGTGGAATCCCGCGCAGGCAGGCGGCCCCGGTGCGGGGTGCGGGGTGCGGGGGCGCTCAGGGTGGAATCCCGCGCAGGCAGGCGGCCCCGGTGCGGGGTGCGGGGTGCGGGGGCGCTCAGGGTGGAATCCCGCGCAGGCAGGCGGCCCCGGTGCGGGGTGCGGGGTGCGGGGGCGCTCAGGGTGGAATCCCGCGCAGGCAGGCGGCCCCGGTGCGGGGTGCGGGGTGCGGGGGCGCTCAGGGTGGAATCCCGCGCAGGCAGGCGGCCCCGGTGCGGGGTGCGGGGTGCGGGGGCGCTCAGGGTGGAATCCCGCGCAGGCAGGCGGCCGCGGTGCGAGGTGCGGGGTGCGGGGGCGCCCCCGGGCCTAGCGCAGCCGCACGTAGGCGGGGGCCGAGTAGTTGAAGAGCAGGAAGTCCATGCGGTAGAGGTCGAAGAGGCGCCGCTGGTAGAAGGGGCTGACGTCGCGGAAGAGGCGCTCGGCGCGGTCGCGGGCGGCGGCCGGGGCGCGGGGCGGCGGCGCGGGGAAGCGCAGGTGCGGCGCGCCCGCCAGGCGCAGCACGAAGGCCGCGTCGTCCGCCAGCGTCTCGAACTTGCCCACCACGTCGTAGCGCAGGCGGCACGGGTGGCAGAGGGCGTGCGCGCGCTCCCAGTGCTCGTTGAAGGGCTCGTCGCGGCGCGTGCGCGGGTCCAGCAGGTAGGCCAGGAACTCGGCGAAGCGCACGTCGTGGCCGCGGGCCAGCGCGTCGGGCCGGGGGCGCGGCCGCAGGCGCCGCACGATGCGCGTGCCGAAGCGCCGCTGGAAGGCCGCGCCGTGGGGCCGCGCCAGCTTGTTGCGGTAGGCGGACGCCAGGCGCTCGAAGGGCTCGCGCACGAACAGGAAGGCCAGGTAGGCGCGCAGCCGCCGGTTGATCTCGGCCGGGCCGAAGTCGGCGAGCGAGGGCAGGCGGCCCGGCGCGTGCGCCTCGTGCGCGGGGATGGCGCGCGGGTCGGCGGGGCCGCGGCCGCTCAGCGCCAGCAGCACGCGCTTCCAGTTGGTGCAGGCCACCTTGGGCACGTAGCAGTAGAGCAGGCCGTGCGCGTCGTCCACCAGCACGTGCCGCAGGTCCTCGGGCCGCAGCAGGCGCTGCCGGCGCGTGTGGCGGCTGCAGGCGCGGCGCAGCAGGTCGCGGCGCTGCCGGTGCTCGGCGGCCAGGGCGGCCAGGGCGGAGCGCGGGCCCTGAGGGCGACAGGCGCGGAGGGCGCGGAGGGCGCGGAGGGCGCGGTCAGCGCGTGCACAGCCCGGCCCGGCCGCGCACCGCGGGGACGGGGCCGGGGCCCGGGATCTGCGCGGACGCGAGCGAGGGGAGGGGAGGGGTGTGACTAGTGGTGCGGGCCCGCGGGACCCAGGAGCTCCTGACGCTGCGTACGACCGGACCGCGCGGGAGCCGCCTGATGAACAGGCGCGTCCCCCGAGTGCCTAGTGGGGCACAGCCTGAATGCCCACTGTCTTCCCCAAAGCAGGGTGCTGTATGAGAAAGCTAGCCTTATTTGATTCCACGTAGAGGTGGAAAATGCAGCCGCTTGCATTTTTCATTTTTCGTTCAGTGGTAAAATTAGCTAAAGCCGTATTTGCCACTTGGGATGTACGATTTTTGGGTCTTGACTCTTTTTACCCACTTGGGGAGGAAGCTTGCCTTCTCTGAAGCCTGTCTCTCCTCTGCGAAGTATTCACGCGGAGCATTTATCTAGCACCTACTGTGTGCCAGGCACTTCACTGTGCACTTTACTATGAATTAGGTAGTATCAGGGCACCAGGGCCAGCCCCTCCTAGCCTGCCTTAGCCACGTTAAGACCCAAGCCACCCCCCACCCCCCACCCCAAACACACTCATTTTCCTTCAAATCGCTTCTGCACCAAACAGGGCCTCCACTTCCAAGACTAAGCCTCCAACCTCCCGCTCCACCCCTTGTCTTCCTGGGTTTTGGTCCAGGAGTTTGTAGGGAAACTGTTTTTAACTTCTCAAACTGCCTTAAAACCCAAGATACGATGAAAAAAACAACAAACGTTGAGGATATAGGAAAATGGAACCTTCACTCACTGTTGGTGAGAATGTAAAATGCTACAGCTGTTGTGGAAAGCAGTTTGGAACCCTCTCAAAACAAAAAAAAATAAATAAACATGTGATCCAGCATTCCACATCTAGGTCACATCAAGACTTGCACACAAATGTTCACAGCGATGTTATTCATAACAGCCAAAAGGTGGAAGCAACCCAAATGTTCATCAGTGATGACTGGATACATAGCATGTGGTCCGCCCATGCAAGGGAACATTACCCAGCCATAAGAAGGAATGAAGTTTTGATACACCCCAAAACATGGATGAACCATGAAAAGGTTATGCATGCTAGGTGCAAGAAGCCAGACACAAAGGGTCACATGTTGCATGACTGATTCCATTTGTATGAAATGTCCAGAACAGATCCATAGAGACAGACAGTAGATTGGTAATTGTCAGGGGCTGGGGAGACAGGGGAAAGGGGGGAGATTGCTAATGGGTGCCGGGTTTCTTTCTTGGGGTGATGGAACTGTTCTGCAGTTAGGGAGTGGTGACAGGCATGGAGCCTTTTAAGTACGCAACAGACCATTGAATTGTACACTTGAAAAGAGTGGATTTTATAGTATATGAGTTATATACCAGTTAAGAAGAAAGCCTTTTGAGTGTTTCCATTTCAGAGAAGGACAAACCAGCATCTGAAATGGTGGGACATTGTAGCCAGTGCCTGCATAAGAGCATCTGATGTGGGGTGGGGAGGGACAGAATGTGTGTGTGTGTGGGGGGGGTGCTCACTTGTGCTTCTAGTACCTTTAAAAGTATCGTGCAGAGGGGCGCCTGGGTGACTCAGTGATTGAGCATCTGCCTTCAGCTCGGTGTGATCCCAGGATCTGGGATAGAGTCCCTCATCAGGCTCCTTGCAGGGAACCTGCTTCTCCCTCTGCCTGTGTCTCTGCCTCTCTCTCCGTGTGTCTCATGAATAAATAAAATCTTAAAATAAATAAATAAATACATACAGAGATAAAGGATTTCTGTACCTGTAGGTATGATTTTGGAAAAATGACCTAAGCACATGGCAGAGCAGTGGACACTGCTCACATGCCTAGGACCTGCCTGGAAGGGCACACAGGATGCTAACTGGTCACCATTGGGGTTAGCTATGGCCGGGGTGGGAAGGAGAGGTGCTCCTCATGGCATCCACTCACTCATTTGTAGGGCTGAATGCCCCATCGTGTGCTTATTTACTTTTTCAAAATCTCACTGAGGGCTGGCTGCCAACTTCAGCCAGAGCTGTGGGGGGTATGAGAGCCCTCAGAGGACCCCATTCCCTCTAATGCAGCCTCACAGGATTGGCCTCAGGAGCCTAGCCCCACACGGATGCCAGGAGAAGGCTGTATCCAGTGGCCCCACAGCCAAGGTCTGCTTTCAGCTTCCAGGCATCCCCACTACTTCTCGTGGCAGGGAATGCTGGCCATCCCCCGACCTGTAAGTCACCCCCTTTCCTTACCAGCAGACCCCAGCTGGGGTAGGCCACGTGCCCAGCCTTGGGGAAGCAACAGTCTCAGCAACCTCACACAACCTCAGAAAAGCTATGGGTCCAGGGGTGGACACGTGACCTGGTTTTGGCCAAGGAGATGTACAGGGAAGTCTGCTAGATGGCTCCCCAAAAAGACTTTCCTTCAGCACAAAAAGAGAGGGCTCCTAAAGGTAAAAAAAAAACAAAAAAACAAAAAAACAAAAAAAACAACTTTGCCCCAGCCCCTCCCTTTCTGCTTGAGGTACTGTCCTGTGAGATGTCCAGAGCCCTGGCAGTCATCTTGAAGTCATGAGGCAACAAGATGTATCATATGTCACCATTCAGAGGGTGATAATGGGCAATGTGTTACTGCTATACCAGGGGGCTGCTGGTCTCTGAACATCTTGGGAAGTAAACACTGACTGTCCTGATGGCTTAAATTCAGCTTTTCGGTTGCTTGGATTCCCCTTAATACCAAGACCCGTCAATACTATCTCCATACAACTGAGAAAACTGAGGCTCAGAAGAAATGAGTCGCCTACAGCTGTCAAGTAGGGAAGCTGGGAGTCCCAAGCAGGCCCCTTAGGACTCAGAAGCTGGGGCCATGTCCCCTGGCCCAGAACATCTTGCAGCTTTGACCCTCATCCCTCCCAGCCCAACTGGATTCGGCTGCCTGCATCCTTAGCCTGGCTGTAGTCCTTATGAGCTCTGTGACCTTCTCTGTGTCCTTGGCATCCCTGTGCCTCGGCTTCCTCATCTGTGAACAAGGATAACAACAGCCCTACCTTATGAAATGGTTACCATGAGGACAAAATAAATTCACAGAATTAGAGTATCTGGTGTGCCATTAGTCCTCGTTGGCCAGATTATTTTTATTATTCCTATTTCTCCTGCTGCGTGGTGCTACGCTACCAGGGCCTTGACACCCAACAGTCACTGGGACCTCAGGCTGTGAAGGGGCTGAGCTAGCCCCACACGCCCCTTCAGAAGCCTGTGGGACCCCAGTATCCTACTGCGAGCCTGGCCTGCCCTCAGCTTGCTGTATGGCCCAGGGCTAGCCACTCACCCTCTCTGAACCAAGGCCTCCACACCTGCAACCCAAGGGCATGGGTTAGATAAGCTCTACAGGCCCCTTGGCTCACCCCTGGGAATTCAGTGAACAGATACCTACCCAACCTGTCTGATCATTCTCCCCAGCTTAAAACCCTTTATGGTTCCCTCTTGCCCTTGCCCCACCTGCCAGGCACTGCCAAGCTGCTGCCCACCCCTGGCATACCTCACATACCCTCTTCTGTCATCTGTCCACTGCCAGGCACTCAGGCCCCTACTTTTTGCTTCTTAACTCCTCAGCAGGTCTCGGCTCCCGTGTCCCTTCCTCAGAGAGGATCTGTCTCCCCCATCTAAACTAGGACCCTCTTGGTAGATCTCTTGTCACACCTTGTACTGTACTGCCCCTTTAGGTGCAAATCAGTGACAGGTTAGTGCAGGTGGCAGTGGGATGATATGTCTCCCCAACATGGGAGTGCCGGCTGTACCAGGTCAGGGACTCAGCTGACCTGCTTGACACTGGATCAGCAGCATATTGAGCATGGCCGGCATGCAATAGGTGCTCTACACAACGCTGTCTGAATGGGTGCCTCCTTGTGCCTGCTGCAGTATGTGTGAGCCAGGTGCCTGTGGCTCTCAGTGGGGTCTGACTGTGTGTATGTGTAGTGGGGGGGATGTGCATGGTCACAGCAGGCCCACAGAAGCGGAGCACATGAGCCACCAAGCCTCCTGGTCCATGTGTCTCAAGGGCAGGGGCTCCCTGCATGTTTCCTTATCATAGCAGGTACTAAAATCTGGGTTTCACTTAATTCCTGTCTCCCCATTAGACTGTCAACTTCCTGAGGGTCTGCTTTACTCTTTTATATCCACAACATATAGAAGAATGCCTGGCACAGTGTGGCTTCAGTCTATTGTTGGGTGGATGATGGATGGATGGATGGATGGATGGATGGATGGATGGATGGGTACTGACCCCATGTCTCTCAGCTTGCCTTAAGATTTGCTCTTATCACAGACATTCTCCTCCCTGCATATGGCCTTGATCTGCAGAAGAAGCCTCTTCATGCCATACTGTGGGCTCTAGTCCCATGATAGCAGGTCTACACTGGGGCTCTCATGTTCCCATGGCTGGAGGTAGAGGGACGCATCACTGGGTGGGGTCTGTCCACTTACCTGGTCCAAGTCATAAAGCATCTGCAGAGGACTTCTCCTCTTCCCACTGAGCCAGCCAGAGCTCAGGCTGTTTTCAAATGCTATGGGGCATAAGGAAAGAGGCATCAGATGGACTGGCTGTAGCCCTTGGGGGACTTGGCCAACTCCCTTGGGCACATTTGAGTCCCTCTGGGACTCAGTTTCCCTCTTGTGTCTTGTTTGCCTCTGGGGGGCTTGATGGAGTGTGGGGGCACTGATAGGCCCCCTAATGCAGCAGGGCAGGGTACTTGGTATCGCTCTTGCCCCCATGTCCTGCCCATCAGAGCTGGAGGATGCCAGGCAGGCAGGGATGAGAGGAAAGGTGGTACTCAGCCCACAACCCTCTGGTAAAGGCCTGACCACCCAACCTTACACATCTCCATCTGCCTTCATTTCATGCCCCACCCCTACCAGCCCCATGTCCATGGAGCCCTAAGGAGCTCACGAAGCTGGGTGTAGCAACAGAGGTGGCACAGCCAAGCTACAGGCTTCCAATGACAGCCCGCCAAGTCATATGACCTTCGTGGACTCCTAAGCAGCTTATACTTCCCTGGCCAGTGTGTATGACACTTCATGATAAATGCAGGTTTCACTGTCTCCCAGACTGGAAGACAACACACAGTAATGCTATCTATCTGTCTCAGTGTTGCATTGCTCAGTCTTCCTAAAACCACCAAAAACTCTGCTTACTAAATGTATTCTTTTACCCTAAGTGTGTTTTAAGGAGTATCTTCCTACATATTCAGTTAATATGAATATATTCTTTGTAATCTGGTTGATTTAGGTAAGTATAGGTTCATGATCTTATGGTTCTTGATCACATTTTTCTAAAATGATTATATTTTTAATAAGTGAATAAGGTATAAGCATTCTTCAAAAAGATCACCAAAATTGGCAAAACTTTAGCTAGACCGACCAAGAAGAATGAAGTCTCAAATTACTAAAAACAGGAATGAAAGAGAAACCATTAGTATTAAATCTTACAGAAATGAGAAAGGTATGAACAATTGTATAAAAGCAAATTAGGTAATCTACATAAAATGGACAGATTCCTAAAAAGATGCAAATTCCTGAAATTGACTCAAAAAGAAATAGAAAATCTCAATGACATATAACAAGTAAATACATTGTAATAATGTAAAAAAAAAACCCCACAAAGAAAAGCCCAGAATCAGAGGACTCATTAGTGAATTTTACCAGATATTTAAAGAAGAATTAACAGCAATCTCTTTCAAATTCTTTACCCCCCTAAAAAAAAAAAAAACTACAACAGAATTGGGGGATGCAAAATACCTCCCAACTCAGCCCAGAATTACCCTGATACCAAAATCAGAGACATCACAAGGAAACTACAGAACAGTATCTCTTATGAACATAGATGCAAAATCCTCAACAAACAAACTAGCAAACTGAATCCATCAACATATAAAAACAGCTATATATAACCAAGTAATATATACCCCAGGAGTGCAAGAGTGGCTCAATATACAAAAATCAAAGTAATACACCATATTAATAGAATTAAAAAACCCTTGGGGGGGATCCCTAGGTGGCTCAGCAGTTTGGCGCCTGCCTTTGGCCCAGGGTGCGATCCTGGAGTCCCGGGATCGAGTCCCACATTGGGCTCCCATAATGGAGCCTGCTTCTCCCTCCTCCTGTGTCTCTGCCTCTCTCTCTCTCTCTCTCTCTCTATCATAAATAAATAAATAAATCTTAAAAAAAATAAAAAAATAAAAAACCCTTGGGATGCCTGGGTGGCTCAGCGGTTGAGCGTCTCCCTTTGACTCAGGGCATGATCCTGGAATCCCGGGATCAAGTCCCACGTCAGGCTCCCTGCATAGAGCCTGCTTCTCCCTCTGCCTGTGTCTCTGCCTTTCTCTGTGTCACTCATGAATAAATAAATAAAATCTTTTAAAAAAATAATTTAAAAACCCCACATAATTATCAATCATGCAGGAAAAGTGTTGCACAATATCCACTACCCTTTTGTTTGTTTGTTTGTTTGTTTGTTTAAAAAATTAAACAAACTAGAACTTAAAGGGAACTTCATCAAATTGATAAAGGCCATCTAGGAAAAGAACCATAGCTAACATATTTAATGGTGAAAAACTGGATGCTTTAGCTCTAAGATCAGGAATAAAATAAGGAATGCCCACTTTAATCACTTGTATTCAACAATGCAATAGAAGTTCTAACCAGGTTAATTGGGTAAGAAAAAGAAAGAAAAAGCATCCAGATTGGAAAAGAAAAAGTAAAATTATGTCTACTTGTAGATGATATGTAGATGAATATAGATAACCTGAATATAGAATTCACAAACTATTAGAGCTAAGAGCTAAGAAATGAGTTCAGTAAGGCTGTAGAATAAGAGATCGATATTCAATAGAGAATTGCATTTCTAAATACTAGTAATGAAAAATCCAAAATTGAAATTACAATAATATCTCCACTTATAATAGCATAAAAAGAATCAAACATTAATGATTAAATTTAACAAAAGAAGTGCAAGACTTGTCACTAAAAACTCCAAGACATCATTGAAAGAAATAAAAGACCTGAATGATTGGAAAAATATCCCACGTTCATGGACTGGGAGATTTAATGTTATTAAGGTGGCAGCACTCCCCAGATTACAGATGCAATGCAATCGCTATAAAAATCCTAGCTGCCTTTCTTACAGAAATTGACAGTTGTTGACAATTGAAAATTGATCCTTAAATTAATGTGAAAATCCAAGGGATTCAGAATATCTAAAACAGCCTTGAAAAGGAATAAACTTGGAGATCTCACACTTCCTAATTTTACTACTTCCTAGAAAGCTACAGAAATCAAGACTATATGGTACTGGGGTAGGAGAGACATATTGATTGATGAAACAGAATTCACAGTTCAGAAGCAAACCCTTACATTTAAGATCAATTGACTTTTTTTTTAATTCAATAGGGAAAGAATAGTCTTTATGATATATTTCACTGAGAAAACTGGATATCCACATGTAAAAGAAAGTAATTGCACCACTACCTCAAACCATATACAAAAAGACTCAAAATGGATCATAGGCCTAAATGTAAGAGCTAAAAATATAAGACTCCTAGTGAAAACATAAACCTAAATCTATGTAATCTTTGAGTTGGCAATGATTTCTTAGATATAACAAAGGGAGCACAGATAACAAAAGAAAAAAACCACATGTGTTGGACTATATCAATATTTTAAACTTTCTGCTTGGGACGACGGGGTGGCTCAGCGGTTGAGTCTCTGCCTTTGGCTTAGGGTGTGATCCTGGAGTCCTGGGATGAGTCCTGCATTGGGCTCCCTGCAGGGAGCCTGCTTCTCCTTCTGCCTATGTCTCTACCTCTCTCTCTCTGTGTCTCTCATGAATAAATAAATAAAATATTTAAAAAATAAAAAATAAAACTTTCTGCTTCAAAGGACATCATCAAGAAGGTAAAAAACAACCCACTAACTGGAAGAAAATATTTTCAAATCCTATATCTGATAAGGGATTAGTATCCAAAATATATAAAGAATGCCTACAACCAAATGATAAAAGATATAACCCAACCTTTTAAGTAGGCAAAGGATCTGAACAGACATTTCTTCAATAATATACAAATTGCCAATAACAGATAAAAAGATGCTCAGCATCACTAGCTGTTAGGAAAATTCAAATCAACCTCAGTAAGATACAATGTCTCACCCACTCAGATGGCTTTTTGACAACTGCATAGGTGGGGAAAATTAGAAACTGACTGCAAATGCCCAGGGAGAGGCTCATAAAAGACCTAAAAAGATCTTGAATTTATACCTTGGGCTGAACCTCAGCATAGAGACAGGCTACAACAATCAGAAAAACAAAAACAGAAACTAAGAACAGCAATCATTGAGAAAGAGAATCTGATTTCCAGAGTGACATTATGATACTCAAATGTCCAGTGTTCAACAAAAAAATTAGAAGCCATTCAAAGAAACAGGAAAAGTATGGCCCATTCAAATGAAAAAAGTTGTATAAATTCAAAATACAACATATAATTTTAGGATGTTCAGTGTAATCCCCATAAGTAGACACAAAGGAAATAAGAAAGGAATTTAAACATTTTACTACAAAAAATAAATTGACTAAGCACAGACGTAAACAGTGGTACAGGAAATGAAGGCTTAATAAAAACTATAAGACATAGGACAATAACAAAATGACAAAAAAAAAACCCCCACAAAATGAAAGATGTTCCTCTTTATCAGTAATTAATTTAAACATCAATGGATTAAATTCACCAGTCAAAATGGTGAATCTGGCAGAATGGATAAAAATACCTGACCCAGCTCTATATGCTGTCTACAAGAGATTCACTTGAGATCCTGTGACACAAACTGGTTGAAAGTGAAAGGATGGAAAAAAGATATTTCAAGCAAATAATAACCAAAATAGAGCAAAGGTGGCTGTGTTAATATCAGCAAAATAGACTATGAATCAAAAAAGGTTACAAGAGACAAAGAAGGACTTTATATTTAATAAAAGTTGTAATACTTCAAGATAGAACAATTATAAACATTCACTTGCCTAATGGCAGGCCATCAAAGTATATGAAACAAAAATTGACAGAAAAAGAGGGCAAAATAGTTCTACAATAGTTGGATATTTCAATATACCGTTCATAATAATGAATTGAGTAACCAGAGAGAAGATGAGGAGGGAAACAAGGATTTACATGTCACAATAAAGCAATCAGATCTGATAGACACAGACAAAACACTCCATCCAAAAACACCATACACATTCTTCTCTCATGAATGTGAAGTGTTTTCCGGGACAATCTATATGTTGGGCCACAAAATAAGTCACAATAGATTTTAAAAGCCATGTATCATACAAACTATGTTCTCTGACCACAGCAGGGTGACATCAGAAATCAGTAACAGAAGAAAAAATGGAAAATTCACAAATGTGTAGACATCAAAGAACACACTTCTTTTTTTTTTAATTTTTTTTTTATTTATTTATGATAGTCACAGAGAGAGAGAGAGAGAGGCAGAGACACAGGCAGAGGAAGAAGCAGGCTCCATGCACCGGGAGCCCGATGTGGGAGCCCGATGTGGGAGCCCGATGTGGGAGCCCGATGTGGGAGCCCGATGTGGGAGCCCGATGTGGGAGCCCGATGTGGGACTCGATCTCGGGTCTTCGGGAAAGCGCCCTGGGCCAAAGGCAGGCGCCAAACCGCTGCGCCACCCAGGGATGCCAAAGAACACACTTCTAAGAAACCAATGGATCAAAGAAGTAGTCACGGGCAGCCTGGGTGGCTCAGCGGTTTAGCGCCGCCTTCAGCCCAGGGCCTGATCCTGGAGACCCGGGATCGAGTCCCACATTGGGCTCCCTGCATGGAGCCTGCTTCTCCCTCTGCCTGTGTCTCTGCCTCTCTCTCTGTGTCTCTCATGGATAAATAAATAAAAAAAATAATAAAATAAATAAATAAATAAAAGTAGTCACAAGGGAAATTAGAAAATACTTGGATTGGGCATCCACATGCAGAAGAATGAAACTAGACCATTCTCTTGCACCATACACAAAGATAAACTCAAAATGGATGAAAGATCTAAATGTGAGACAAGATTCCATCAAAATCCTAGAGGAGAACACAGGCAGAACTTTTTGAACTTGGCCACAGTAACCTCTTGCAAGATACATCCACGAAGGCAAGAGAAACAAAAGCAAAAATGAACTATTGGGACTTCATCAAGATAAGAAGCTTCTGCACAGCAAAAGAAACAGTCAACAAGGGCAGCCCCTGTGGCGCAGCGGTTTAGCGCCGCCTGCAGCCCGGGGCGTGATCCTGGGGACCCTGGATCGAGTCCCACATCAGGCTCTCTGTATGATGCCTGCTTCTCCCTCTGCCTGTGTCTCTGCCTCTCTCTCTCTGTCTCTATGAATAAATAAATAAAATCTTAAAAAAAAAGAAACAGTCAACAAAACTAAAAGACAACCTACAGAATGGGAGAAGATATTTGCAAATGACGTATCAGATAAAGGGCTAGTTTCCAAGATCTATAAAGAACTTATTAAACTCAGCAGCAAAGAAACAAACAATCCAATCATGAAATGGGCAAAAGACATGAAGAGAAATCTCACAGAGGAAGACATAGACATGGCCAACACGCACATGAGAAAATGCTCTGCATCACTTGCCATCAGGGAAATACAAATCAAAACCACAATGAGATACCACCTCACACCAGTGAGAATGGGGAAAATTAACAAGGCAGGAAACCACAAATGTTGGAGAGGATGCGGAGAAAAGGGAACCCTCTTGCACTGTTGGTGGGAATGTGAACTGGTGCAGCCACTCTGGAAAACTGTGTGGAGGTTCCTCAAAGAGTTAAAAATAGACCTGCCCTACGACCCAGCAATTGCACTGCTGGGGATTTACCCCAAAGATGCAGATGCAGTGAAACACCGGGACACCTGCACCCCGATGTTTATAGCAGCAATGTCCACAATAGCCAAACTGTGGAAGGAGCCTCGGTGTCCATCGAAAGACGAATGGATAAAGAAGATGTGGTCTATGTATACAATGGAATATTCCTCAGCCATTAGAAACGACGAATACCCACCATTTGCTTCGATGTGGATGGAACTGGAGGGTATTATACTGAGTGAAGTAAGTCAATCAGAGAAGGACAAACATTATATGGTCTCATTCATTTGGGGAATATAAATAATAGTGAAAGGGAATAGAGGGGAAGGGAGAAGAAATGGGTGGGAAATATCAGAAAGGGAGACAGAACATGAGAGACTCCTAACTCTGGGAAACGAACTAGGGGTGGTGGAAGGGGAGGAGGGCAGGGGGTGGGGGTGACTGGGTGGTGGGCACTGAGGGGGGCACTTGACGGGATGAGCACTGGGTGTTATTCTGTATGTTGGCAAATTGAACACCAATAAAAAATAAATGTATTATTAAAATATATATATATATATAAATAGTCATTTAAAAAAAAAAGAAAATACTTGGAGACAAACAGAAATGGAAACAACATACCAAACTTACGGGATGCAGTGAAAGTGCTTAGGGGAAAATTTATAGCTATATGTGCTTATATTAAAAAGCAAGAAAGATCAGGGTGCCTGGGTAGCTCAGCGGTTAATGTCTGCCTTTGGCTCAGGGCGTGATCCTGGAGTGTGGGATCAAGTCCCACATCGGGCTCCCTGCATGGAGCCTGCTTCTCCCTCTGCCTATGTCTCTGTCTCTCTGTGTGTCTCTCGTGAATAAATAAATAAAATCTTTAAAAAACAAGAAAGATCTCAAATCAGCAGCCTAACTTTACAACTTAAGGAACTAGAAAAAGAAGAAAAAATAAACCCAAAGCTCGAAGAAAGAAGGAAATAATAAAGATTAGAGCAGAGATAAACGAAATAGAGAATAGAAAAACAGAAAATCAATGAAATCAAACGTTAGTTCTTTGGAAAGATCCACAAAATGACTAGCCTTTATCTAGATGGACCAAGAACAAAAAAGAAGATTCGGCTTACTAAAATCAGAAATGAAAGTGGGAAATTACTAGTGATTGTACAGAAATTTAAAAAAATATATAAAAGTACTATGCACGATTGTATGCCAAAAAAATGGATAACCTATATAAAATAAAATTTCTAAAAACAAAATGTATTAAGACTAAATCATGAACTAGCTAGACAATCTGAATAGACCGATAACTAGTAAGGAGATCGAATCAGTAATCAATTTTCTGACAAATAAAAGCCATGGACCTGACGGGTTCACTGGCACAGTCTTATCAAACATTTAAGGAACTAATACAAGTCTTTCTCAAACTCTTCCAAATATTGAAGAGGAGGTAACACTTCCTAAGTCATTCCGTGTGGGGGAGGGGGAAAAGCTAGACAAAGGCACTACAAGAAATGAAAACTGCAGACCACTATCCCTTATGAATTTTGATGCAAAAATTCTCCACAAAATACTAGAAAATGGAATTCAACAGCATATTTAAAAGACTATGCATCATAACCAAGTGGGATTTATTCTTAGAATGCAAGAATAGTCAAACATGTGAACGTCAATCACTGTAATACATCAATCACATTAAGAGAATGAAGGGGAAAAAGACCAATCATCTCATTTGACACAGACAAAGCATTTAGCAAAATTCAACATACTCTCATAAAAGAAAACTCAAAAAACAAGGAACAGAAGGAAAGCAACACAAAACAATAACCATATATGAAAAACCTACAGTTGAGATGCCTGAATAAATAAATAAAACCTTAAAAAAAAAAGGAAGGAAAAACCCAGAGTGAACATCATGTTCAATAGTGAAAGACTAAAAGCTTCTCCTCTACATTAGGAATAAAGCAAGGATGCCCATTTTGCCACTTCTATTCAACACAATACTGAAAGTTCTAGTCAGAGCAATTAGACAAGAAAAAGAAATAAAAGGTATCCAAACTGGAAGGAAGTAATAAAATTATTTCTGTTTGCAGATGATATGACCTTATATGCAGAAAACCCTAAAGATTCCACACGCAGAAACTGTTAGAACTAATAAATGAGTTCACCAAAGTAGTAGGATACAAAGACAACATACAAAAATCAGTTGTACTTCCATACACAATGAACAATATGAAAAGGAAAGTACAAAAACAATTCCATTTACAATAGTCTAAGAAAGAAGAAAATACTTAGGAATTAACATAACCAAGGAAGTGAAAGACTTGTACAATGGAAACTACAAAATACTCCTGAAATAAAGAAGACACAAAGAAATGAAAACACATCCCATGTCCATGGATTGAAAAACTTACTATTGATGAAATGTCAGTACTGCCCCAAATGATCTACAGATTCTTCAATGCAACCTCTGTCAAAATTCCAATGACATTTTTATTTGCAGAGATAGAAAAACCCATCCTAAAGTTCATATGTGACCTAAAATAGCCAAAAAAAAAATCTTAAAAAAGAACAAAATTGGCAGATACACACTTCCTAATTTCAAAATTAACTACTAAGCTATAGTAACAAAACTGTGGGTGGTGTAAGGACAGACATATAAATCAATAGAATAAAGAGCCCAGAAATAAACCCTTACATATATATGTTCAATGATTTTGACCATTCAGGGTGGGAGAGGACACTCCTTTCAACAACTGGTGCTGGGAAAACTGGATGATATCCACATGCAAAAGAATGTATTCAGACCCTTACTTCACACCATATACAAAATTTAACTCAAAATGGATCAAAGATCTAAATGTAAGACCTAAAATAATAAAACTCTTAAGAGAAAACATAAGACAAAAGCTTTACAACATTGGATTTGGCAGTGGTCTCTTGGATACAACCAAAGGCACAGGTAACAAAAGAAAAGATAGGTAAATTGGACTTGATGAAAATTTAAAGACCTCCAAAGACAACACACAAAATGGGAGAAAATACTTATAAGTTATGTATCTGATAGGAGATATATAGAGAACTTCTAAAACTCAACAACAAAAAATACACATCAAAAATGGACAAAGGACTTGAATAGACATCTCTCCAAGGAAGATATACAAATGACCAAGAAGCACATGAAAAGATGCACAACATCACTAATCATTGGGGAAATGCAAATCTATATGATAATGATATACCACCTCATACCCATTATTATGGCTACTATAAAAAAAAAAGAAAACAAATGTTGTTGATGTGGAGAAATTGGAACCCTGTTCACTGTTGGTGGGAATATAGCATGGGGCAGCTGCTGTGAAAATAGCACAGAGGCTCCACATACAGTTAAATGTGGAATTACCATATAACCCAGCGATTCCACTTCTGGGTACATACCCAAAAGAGATGAAAAAGCAGGGCGTCTAAGGGATATTTGCACACTCCTGTTCATAGCAGCATTCAACCCAAGAGTCCATCAAGAGATGAACAAATGGAAGCAAAATGCAGTCCATTCATGAAATGAATATTATTCCCTTGAAAAGAAAGGA